TACGGATCGTATAACTCCCGCATAGATGCGACGTACGTCCTCCGTCGGTCCCCCTAGATTGGGCAGCAGTTTATGCATAGCACCCGCTACCCTTTTGATCCGGGGGATACGGCACTCGAAATGTTCTTCGAAACCCCAGCGACTGTCCATGTAGAGGCCTAGGTACTTCATGTACCTCCCCACTCTGACTTCAGACCCACCCACGCGGACACTCGAGTCGGGTGGTTCCCTGCCCTTTGTAATTTATGGAATCATAGGGCCTCAGTCTTGTGAGGTGCTATTTCTAATCCCAAATAGTGGATTTTGACGACGACGACTTCCGCCCCGAGTTCGGCTCCTTGACCCTCTCGAAAGTGATCCCGCTGGAGATCACTTATGTGTCATCAGCATAGCAGACGATATTCGCAGAACCGCATCATAGGCGAGGTTCCACAGTAGCGGCCCCAGCAACGAGCCCTGTGGAACCCTACGTTTGATCTCCTCCGGATCTTCCTGCCATCTTGCCCCATGTACAGGATGTACCTGTCGCGCAAGTAGTCCCCGACAATACCTTGCAGGTAAGGGGGCACCTGATGATGTGCTTGTGCCCTTCTGATTGCATCCCAGGGTAGATAGTTAAAGGCGTTGACGATATCAAGACTTATCACCAACGCCACGCCACCCTGGCAACTAACCTCTCGAATAATTTGCCGATCTCCTCCAACAGGCATATGGGGCGGTATACAGAGGGAGAATCAGCAGCCCTGCCCTCCTTCTTCAAGAGGACCAACATTGCTTCTTTCCAGACTGTGGGGAACGTGGCACAGCGCAGGCAGCTGGTGAACAGCTGCCTATGAGCATGTCCCCGAGGACAGCCAGACTCAGCACTGGGGCCCGGCCGGTATTCCATCGGGCCCGGTGCTGTGTTCCGGTTTTTTAAGCTGCTATCGTGCCACTCCCATAACGACGGTAGGTGACCTGAGGGACTTGACCGGTCCTCTGCCTCTGCCGTACTGATCGCCCTTCCCAGCAGATTCGGATCGAGTCTCCGTCAAGGGGGGCAACCAAGGCCGGAGCTTACCCAGTACTATCCTGTATGGACGCCCCAGTGGGGTCATTATTAATCCTGTACCCAACAGTTTTTGCTTGGTAAAAAATTTTAAACTTTACATTTAAATATAACCCCATATATTAAAGGTTCTAATCAACTGTCAACCATCAACTTTTTTTATAAAATAATTGTGACAAACGAGTACAGAGTCCGTCTAATGTTAAGTGGATGCTGTGGCCCATAGAAATCTATATATTTATCCTCGATTAAGAATCAAAAGGCAGATGCGTTGTCACCCCTGAGGATAAAAATGGAATGCCTCGTTTCCAGTAAAACGGGTCGCCGTTTCTCTACACTCACCATACGAAACACAGCAGCGTTAAGCTGCTATTTTACATTGGTATTTAGTGAGAGCTTGGTCCTACCCAGGTCGAGCCGACCCATTTCTGATATAACTATAATATGGCTGCAATGTGGCTCTATCACGTATAAAAAAAAACTGTAACCGTAACTGTAAAACCGAGAAATACAGTGTATTTCAACAAGACTCAGCTTCTCCCCATTTAAAAGCACATTGATATGCCATGTTTAACATTTTGTGTTGCGATTTAATACATTTTGTTTTATTACCGTTCAAAAACAAATTGTAGACGTTAAAAGAGTGTACTAATTTTGATATAGCATTATTCACTTCGTCATATTTTAATAATTGCCTTTTAAATCGGAAGATTTTGATATACTTAGTCATATTTTAACCTTTGCCGTTTAAGTCTGAAAATCAACAAAGCAACATCAGCAAATAAAACTAATTATGGTTATTCCCTACCAAGTAATGTAAGTCATTAATGTAAACTCAAAACAAGGGGACAAGAATTGAGCCCTAAGGAACACCCGTAGACACTATTGACCCGTAAGAATTACTTCCATTAATAACAACTGCTTGCGTATTTTTCTACTTTTCAAACATAAAATGCCAAGCGTAGAACCTCCTGTCTTGTCTCTCTGAAAGGAGGATGTCACCCTTATGAACAGATTTTTAAGCTCCAATTAATGCAAATAACTTGTCGGAACTCGTCTTGCTTGTAGTTGACCCAAAGAGGAAACCCCACCAACGCCTCTTGGGAGATGGTGCACTACCCGCCGTATAGTATTCTCTAAACCCCCGCCTCAATATCCTTGCCTGTGTTAGCCCCGATCTGCTTATAATTTATTGATTTCATCATAATATACGAGTATACGTATAAATGAAATTGAAGTGCTTGTCTGCAATTTTGAAATAACTCTCTTCCATTATATTCAGGAGGTTATTTGCATGCTATTGAGACAAAGAACCATTTTTAAAATAGTTGTCTGTCTGGGTTAATCTTTGGAATGGCAACGCCAGGAGAGACTAGGCTATATTTTATCCAAAAACCTTGGAGATTTTTTAAAATGAAAACTTCATTAAATTTTCCACATTATGCGGTATGTTCTATTAACGCCTAAAAATTAAGATTCCAACGTTTTGTCGCATAAAATCGTATCTTACAATCATATAGAACATATAAATGATATAAAAAGCACATAGAAAGACAAATCATTGTTGAACTTATTAATATATTTTTTAAATCGATTAATTGCTATTTTTACATAAAATAGTGGTTTTAGTGGCTATGGTGTAGATTTATCAAGTCCGCGTGGAATGGTAAATACGATAACTTTTGAAAATATCAATTATTTAACTCATCTGTTTTTTAATCTCTTCGTCTATCATCATGTGGGAAGCCAGGGAATGTAAATAGCAGTTAAATTTTCTTTTGTGTAGTTATAATTTATTTATTTCGGCGTAGATATCCGGAAATTTTCGGTGTTTTAGCAGCCTTGTAATAATTTATTTTACTAAATAGACTGCCTCAATCACTCACTTCGGTTATTCGCAGCGGCTCAAAAAGATCGCTGTACAAATACAAAATATTCGAAAAACCAAATTTCATACATACTTGATTGTTATAATATAATCAGAGATTTTTATTACAAAAAACTCTACTACGTACTGAAAGTAAGTAGAATGTATATATTTAAGTATATTTATACTTAAATAAGTCTTGGACTTTATGGAGTGACCTGAATGATGATCATACGAGCATTATGAGTCGTGCACTTTTGGATTTTTCAAAGTTATTTTTAAATTGAAGTTTGACATAAAATAGAAAATTGGAAGTATAATAATAAGGTTATTAGTGAAAACTTGTGTGTATTTAAACTACTTTAAAAAATTTACGTATAATCATGTTATACGTATTTTTTTTAATACACTTATAGGTCATGCACAATGAGATTCACCAATAGTTTTAGATTCTATCCAGACGAAGCCGGGGCGGATCGCTAGTAGTATAATATGTAAAGCGTAATTAAAGTAGCTGTTAGTAGGTAGTGCTGTAAGTAGATGTTTCAAAATATGGGCCAGAATTGACGGATTTGTGTGCATGACAGCTTCGTCTTACCCTCGCGGTGGCTCTCTTTATGTTCACCATAATTGGGGAGAAAATATAGCGAAGTTGTGGATGTGGTTGTTCTCCTACCTTAATTTAGTATTTCGTTTATAAATATTACATAAATTATAATTACTTCATCAAATTTAATATTTGAAAAGTCGCATGGTCTACGAATAACGAATTCGTTCTTACCGTTACCGTTACAGGCTATTAAAGTCCACTGCTGAACAAAGGCCTCGTCCATAGAGGGATCTTTGCCATAGTTGCCACGCTTGGCAAGCGGGTTAAAAATCGCAGTTTTTTAATTCGTTCTCAGTAATGCAATAACTACTTAATCATCATTCTCAAAATACTCTTTTAAATGCAATCGGTGCATAAATATTTTTTTTTTTAATTTAATATAAAAATGTATCACTTTTTACATTATAATGTAACATTACTCAAACATCTCCCGTGGTCTATTTAATGGTTCAGACGCACATAGGCATTGGCCGATCCTTAAAGGACCTACAGTGAGTAGTTCCTCCTCGTATTAATTTAACCTATACCTGTACATCCATATCAAATAATAGCGCCTAGCTTCATGATTTTATATCGTAGTGTCATTACCCAGTAAACAGCTGGACACCTGCCACTTCCACAATAGAGGATTTTCTGTTATTATCATTTGATTTTTATATATTTACATCTGACATATCAATGCCTGATGTAATTATGTCGAATGTCCGACTTGGTATTTCCGACGGTTATCGGAAGCAAGAGTTTTTTTTTATTCATACGCCACTCACAAGAACAGAAGAACAGAGATTTTTTCATCAACCGAAAAAATAAAACGAATGGTTATCAGTATTTTTTTATTTAGTAAAATGGCAATACACTTATAAAAGGCACTTTTTCTCACTGTAAGTGAGTTACAGGAATGTAAAATTGCTTATAGAATATACTAAGAGCACTTTTTATCATTTTGACGCTTATAAACCGACTTCAAAATAAGAGGAAGGTCTTAATTTGACTATGATTTGTCTGTAGTAAGATTTAGAAAAATTTGAAATGAAGTTTTTATAGGAAATATTTAAACGAAGTTTTTGTTATTTATTACCTTGAGCTTATTCCTTATTCCACTCAAAAGGTTCAACTAATAAATTAATTAATTATGTGGAAATTATTTTATTATTTTTAGTTATTTGAAGTCGGCTTTTAATTTTTATTAAAATATTAAGTTTTCTTAAAATTTAAAACCATTAGCAAAGCCATTGAAAATATTTTTAAACGATGTACATTTACATGTGATATGATTTACATTTATATTAGAAAGTAATACGATTACATGATCAATTTTAGAGATTCGTAATAGGTATTACAAACTATTATATCAAAATGCATGATATAAATATACAGTCGATTGAAATACACATTGTAAATCTTGTACTAAAAAAATTAACTATTTGAATTACTTGCCTAGATATAACCAAATATAAAATTACAAAACCAGATATTTAGTGGTGGAACAATCTTAGGTTAGTGTGACACAAAACAATGTTATGTTCGTTGCACGCTTCGATAACTTCTTGATCATTGTTGGAGCCCGACGGACTGCCAATGTATTGGACTCCGCACTAAAAGAAAAAAGATTTGAACATTCTTTTTCCCGTTATTTTTTTGTATTACACAAGCTTAAAGTGCTCAAGGGAAAACACATATTAAAAATTTTATGTAATTACTTATATGCGGTAGAGCCATGCTGCAGCTATATTATGCTTGTAGCACGAATAGGACGGCTCGACCGGGGAATGACCACGCTCTCACAGAATACCGGCGTAAAATAACAGTTTAATGCTGCTGTGTTTCGTATGGTGAGTGTAGAGAACCGGAGAACGTTTTTACTGGAAACGAGGCATTCCATCTTAGTCCTCACGGGTGTCAACGCATCTGCATTTTGATTCTTTATTGAGGATATATCTAGATATCTATGGGTCACAGCAACCAATTACTTACCATCAGGTGAACTATGTGCTCGTTTGTGACTCTATCCTATACAAAAAAAGTTGTCACACTTGGCAACCGCAATTTTTTTATTATTTTAAGGTGTCCTGCCGCCCATCTCCTGTTTCATTTTCCCTTTGTCCCCTCTTACGACACCCTCGGGATGATATGGGGTAGTGGATATACTTTCATCGCCACTACACGGTATAATTATTGATTGAAAAAAAATATCATCATTATCATAGCCCTTCACAAGCTCATTGTAAAAAGCTCCCCCCAAAGAATTCGACTAAATATGGCCGGCCCATTTCTACTTTAGCTCAGCTTTTAGCTAAAAGTAATATACTCAGAAATACGAGTAGATGTCTTTCTTCATTTAAAAAAAGTTTACTCCACATAAATTGCACAAAGACAAATATTTGTAAGTGATATAAATTCTGGTTTCCTGCGAAATAAAACCCGCGCCCGACTACCGTCTGAAAAATAAAACGGTAGGCTTTCCCTTGATTTCGACTTCGATTCGAACTCACTTTGCTACGATTTTCCGGCTTACTCCCGACACGATCAAATTCTGAATCAGTGTAAAAGTAATTTCGTACTCTCAAGTCTTAATACCAACAAAAATAATACTCTTTGCTTGCTACTTTCAACGCTATCTAACGGCGGATGACTAGCTGAAGATTAATTCTGAGAATTCAAATTTGGAACAACCATTCGATTGTTCGCGCTTGAGTTTTGGTTTCGGATCTTTAGTATATAATATTATTATTATCTATGGTTTTGGGAGTAATATAGGACTCGATTCTGTCGATAGTAGGCCAGTAGTTGTTGTAAAAAATAATAATAATAAGTTGAATTACTATTTGATACTTGCTTTTGTGACGATTTTAGGTTTATTTAGTAAGGTAGTACCCATATTTATTTTCTTAAAAAAAAAGGAACTAAAAAGCTACGCAAATAATAACAGCCTGTAAAAATTAGCACTGTGGTCAAACAGAAAAATAAAATTATATAAGTTTACTAACCTGGACAGCTCTATCAATATTGTCCCTGAATGGGAAGAAAGCGTCGGAAGCAAGTGCGACTTTGTCCAACTTCTTAAGCCAGTCATCGCGCTCGGCTTCAGTAAGAAGAGCAGGAGCTTCGCCCTCGAACAATGCATTCCATTGTTCTAGTGGAAGATCTGATCCTGTTGTAGGAAATTAGTATGAGTCACGGCTAAGAAACGCAGATGGAATAGATTAACCTTAAGGTTATAATCTCACACACAGGTCAAAAACGGATTATGTCAATATACTGATTAAATTGTTTTTTTTTCTTCTACATCATACCAATTATCAATTTAAATGGATACTAGCTTTTACGGGTAAAAGTTCGCGTAGAATACTTGCATACCAGAATATAGGATAGCGGTATTTAGGCAAATAGCTCAATTAACTTAAAATCATCTACTGAGTTTTGCTATTATCTATACAAATAAATAAAATTGAAGTGTCTGTTTGTAATTTCAAAATTACAGTTTTTTTTTACTAAATGCATATGAAAGTAAATACGGTTCTTATAACTAAAATACAATTTTTAAATTTTTTGTCTATGTCTGTCTGTTTGTTCCGGCTAATCTCTGAAACGGCTGGACCGATTTTGACGGGACTTTCACTGGCAGTTACTTAAGCTACTTTTATTTTAGAAAAAGAATTAGGGTTCCGCGCAAAAACATAAAAACTCTAACACGCGAGCGAAGTCGCGGGGAACAGCTAGTTGATAAATAATTTCTTGAAAACTATGTACATACTGTACATAGTTTTAGGTTAATATAAAATTTGGAAATCTATACAATTTACCTAAAAAAATGTCTTATTACCTTATCCTTTAACACAGTTTTGTTGTAAAAAAAAAGTGTTATAGTAAGAATAAAATATGTGAAAGCCGATTTTGTATCCGGCCGAGTTGAGTTAGAAGATAACCTTTTAGTGTAAAATTGTAAACCAAAAGTTCTGTTTAAAATTTTTTTATATAAAAATAATTGTAATTTTAGATCGTGGGGTCACTTACCCCATAATTTAAAAAAAAACTTGGCATTTAAAAATATGTTAGTGAAAAAAATATTTAAAGTTTGTAGGCAGGTCTGACAAAATTGAGGGACTTTCTAAAGTTGTGTATCGCTAGCAACGCAATGTCGGGAATTTGCAAAACTTGGTACTTAATTAGCACCTAAAAAGCCCCTTATTTGGACTTTTTCTGAAAGCAACTTTGATTCTATTTTGATTTTCAGGAAATCTGAATTTTGCATCTGCTATGTTCTGAATAACGACTTTATTTTTATTGGGGGCGCCTTGTTACTGCGTATATTTGCAGCAACTAATTAGCACCTAATTCCTTGCTATTAATATTTATCGTATATCTAATAAATTCATTGCGTTGCTAGCGAGACGTTTTGCTAGCAACGCAAATTTCAATCGTTCGTTGCGGTGAAAATTTTAGAGCACCTAATTTTTAAATTTGGCACCTAATTAGCACCTAAAAAGCCCCTAATTTTGGATTTTACCAAATGCAAATTCCCGACTTTGCGTTGCTAGCGATACACAACTACTTTCTAAATCTGTAGAGCAAACGATAAGACGTTATGTTGATTTTAATGTATATAGGTTGTTGATTAAATAATATGTGTGTTTTAATAAAATACCATCAGATCGTTTTGATAAGTAAAAAAGCATTTTTTTCCCAATCCTAATTCCGGACACCCTATTAAACTCGGTGGACCCACGTTTAATTTTAGAGGTCCGAAGTAACAAGGCTCCACTGTATATCTCTTATACTTCATGAGTTAATCATCACAAAACATTCATTTTATCAGTTTTCCGATTTCTCAAAAAAAGAACCTCAAGTCCAAATTTAAAATACTTCAATATTTTATCCGAAAGAAAAATATAGTTTTGATCACTTCTGCCGTAGCTCTCTATCTGTTAGTGAAGTTGTATGACAATCGGTTCAGTCATTCCTTAGCTTAGCCCCACGGAACACAAAAAACAAGAGGTATACCAGAGTGGGTGGGGAAGGCTGCCTCAATTGACATCACTAAAAACATTCATGTAACAGTAGCAGGTTGGGTACGGCAAAGTCAACGTAATGTCGATAAGCATTGAGCCTACAATAGTGTAAAGTTATTGTTGCAGCACCTAGCCTCGCGTAACAAATTGTTTTCGCCAATTTCGGAAGCTGGATGGAGGCATAATCATGTCTTTTAGTCAGAATATATTATTGTCTCCCCCAAGGGATTAACACATTTTATTTATATGTATAGATTTAATTAACTTTTTTATACTTTAACCTTAGTACTTTTATATGAGTCATAGTCAGTACCTAATGATGTGGTGTGGGGATCTGTAATATACTTTTTTCTATAGAAGAGGGGGCAAACGAGCATGCGGTTCACCTGATGGTAAGTGACTACCGCCGCCCATGAACAACCGCAACACCAGGGGAATTGCAGATGCGTTGCCGGCCTTTTAGAAAGGTGTAAGCTCTTTTCTTGAAGGTCCCTAAGTCGTATCGGTCCGGAAAAATCGCCGGTGGTAAACAATTCCACAGAGAAGTTGTACGAGGAAGAACACTTCTAGCAAAACGCACAGTTGTGGACCGCCAAGCATCCAGATGGTGAGGATGGTATCGTGAATTTTGACGCGATGTGTGTTCGTGAAATTTGGCGGCTGGAATTAAACCGAACAATTGCTCAGGGCACTCCCTGAGGTAAATTCGATAGAAAATGCAAAGAGATGCAACATCCCTGCCAACGCAGTGCCAGTGTATCGAGCCGATCAGAAAGAACTCGGTCGTCGACGATTCGAACCGCTCTGCGCTGGATGCGGTCAAGTGGAAGGAGCTGGCACTGGGGAGCCCCGGCCCAGAGTTGAGAACAGTATTCCATGTGAGGCCGAACTTGCGCTTTGTAAAGTTGCAAGCGATGTGCCGGCATGAAATACTGTCTCGCTCTGCTGAGAACGCCAAGATTTTTAGAGGCAAATATGTCGACGCCGAGGATTCCGATGCTAGCTGAGGCAGAAAGGGGAGTGCCTTGAAACTGAGGAGATACGACAAAGGGGTTTTTTATAGCGGTAAATGCGCAAACTTGTGTATTCTGGGGATTGAACTGGACTAAATTTCGTCGCCCCCAACCGAGACTTTGTTTAGCAAAGACTCGACTTCAGACACAAGTTTGTCCCGGTACTCGGCGACGTTTTCCCGAGAAATATTAGCACGACCGGTATATAAGGCATCACCGGTGCTGTCGTCTGCATAGCAATGAATGTTACCAGTTTGCAACATATCATTGATATGCAGGAGAAACAGCGTTGATGATAGCATGCAGCCTTGTGGAACACCAGTGTTGATAGGCTTGAGATCACAGCATGCACCGTCTACTACGACCTTGATGCTCCGATCAGCAAGGAAACTGGTGATCCATTTGCACAATTTCTCAGGAAGCCCATAGGAAGGAAGCTTCGAAAGAAGCGCTTTGTGCCAGACCCGATCGAAGGCCTTCGCTATGTCCAAACTAACGGCCAATGGCTCTCCCTTGGACTCTACTGCCTCCGCCCATCTATGAGTCAGGTAGCCCAGAAGATCACCAGTTGATCGACCCCGACGAAAACCCTACTGGCGGTCACTAATCAGCTGGTGATCCTTAAGGTACCTCATGAGCTGGCAGTTTACAATGGATTCCATTATTTTGGAGAACAAGGAGGTGATGGCGATAGAAATTTAAGCTTTTTTTTAATAACTCCAAAATTTTGTGCGGATCGTTTTTGATGTAATGAGTTAACTATTAGTTCGTAAAAATATTTGTCAAGCGTTTTGAGATAGAACATGGCCTGCGGGGTCAATAGATTTTTTTAATTTAAATAATTATAACGATCTTAAGCCCGTTAAAAGTGTGAAGGGAAAATTGGAATCATAATTCGCGTTTTGTAGTTATTAACTTATGCATTAGTAGTAAGTGTGTCATTAAGAAAGTAAAGAGTAGACAAAAACGTTTTGAATAGAAGCGCGCGTACGCGTAATTGTTGCCCATAAATCACATTCAATTTTGGGATAAGTTGAAATGAAAGTAGAAATCTTATTTACTTGTATTTGCAAGAACTTTCTAAACGGCTTATTAATATATTTTAACTTAAATATTAAATTTGGATACACTTTGAAAAATAACCCCGTATGTGGTGTTGTACACATTATCAATATCTACATGAAGTATTATGTAAGTAAATGAAAGAAAATGATTTCTTTTGTTCAAAATGTTTACATATTATAAGCCACTAATTTATACTTGTCATCTTCGTCACATTTCAAGTGCAGGAAAACCTCTAATTCACAAAATAGCGGCCTTAAACGGCGTATATGACATTTTACTGAGTGCGAGAAAAACAATGGGGGTTAACTTTTTATACGGTTTAACAATACATTAAATAAAGTTTTGGTTTCATTTAAACGATATCGAAACCTTTGGTAAAAGTGAGCGTAACGTGTGTAAGATGTAAGGGCGCATGCTCACCAACGGTTCCGTTGACGAAGTTGTCGATGGCGTTGGCCTGCACCGCGCGAGAGACTCCGGGGCGGAAGCGAAGCGCGGCGAGGCGCGGGTGGCGGCGCGCCCACCACAGCGCCGCCTTGCCGCCCGCCAGCCGCGTGCAGTGGATGCGCGACTGCTGGCCCGCACCGATGCCTACCACCTGACAAGTTGCAACACAATGACACAACCACAGCGCGCCCACCACAGCGCCGCCTTGCCGCCCGCCAGCCGCGTGCAGTGGATGCGCGACTGCTGGCCCGCACCGATGCCTACCACCTGACAAGTTGCAACACAATGACACAACCACAGCGCGCCCACCACAGCGCCGCCTTGCCGCCCGCCAGCCGCGTGCAGTGGATGCGCGACTGCTGGCCCGCACCGATGCCTACCACCTGACAAGTTGCAACACAATGACACAACCACAGCGCGCCCACCACAGCGCCGCCTTGCCGCCCGCCAGCCGCGTGCAGTGGATGCGCGACTGCTGGCCCGCACCGATGCCTACCACCTGACAAGTTGCAACACAATGACACAACCACAGCGCGCCCACCACAGCGCCGCCTTGCCGCCCGCCAGCCGCGTGCAGTGGATGCGCGACTGCTGGCCCGCACCGATGCCTACCACCTGACAAGTTGCAACACAATGACACAACCACAGCGCGCCCACCACAGCGCCGCCTTGCCGCCCGCCAGCCGCGTGCAGTGGATGCGCGACTGCTGGCCCGCACCGATGCCTACCACCTGACAAGTTGCAACACAATGACACAACCACAGCGCGCCCACCACAGCGCCGCCTTGCCGCCCGCCAGCCGCGTGCAGTGGATGCGCGACTGCTGGCCCGCACCGATGCCTACCACCTGACAAGTTGCAACACAATGACACAACCACAGCGCGCCCACCACAGCGCCGCCTTGCCGCCCGCCAGCCGCGTGCAGTGGATGCGCGACTGCTGGCCCGCACCGATGCCTACCACCTGACAAGTTGCAACACAATGACACAACCACAGCGCGCCCACCACAGCGCCGCCTTGCCGCCCGCCAGCCGCGTGCAGTGGATGCGCGACTGCTGGCCCGCACCGATGCCTACCACCTGACAAGTTGCAACACAATGACACAACCACAGCGCGCCCACCACAGCGCCGCCTTGCCGCCCGCCAGCCGCGTGCAGTGGATGCGCGACTGCTGGCCCGCACCGATGCCTACCACCTGACAAGTTGCAACACAATGACACAACCACAGCGCGCCCACCACAGCGCCGCCTTGCCGCCCGCCAGCCGCGTGCAGTGGATGCGCGACTGCTGGCCCGCACCGATGCCTACCACCTGACAAGTTGCAACACAATGACACAACCACAGCGCGCCCACCACAGCGCCGCCTTGCCGCCCGCCAGCCGCGTGCAGTGGATGCGCGACTGCTGGCCCGCACCGATGCCTACCACCTGACAAGTTGCAACACAATGACACAACCACAGCGCGCCCACCACAGCGCCGCCTTGCCGCCCGCCAGCCGCGTGCAGTGGATGCGCGACTGCTGGCCCGCACCGATGCCTACCACCTGACAAGTTGCAACACAATGACACAACCACAGCGCGCCCACCACAGCGCCGCCTTGCCGCCCGCCAGCCGCGTGCAGTGGATGCGCGACTGCTGGCCCGCACCGATGCCTACCACCTGACAAGTTGCAACACAATGACACAACCACAGCGCGCCCACCACAGCGCCGCCTTGCCGCCCGCCAGCCGCGTGCAGTGGATGCGCGACTGCTGGCCCGCACCGATGCCTACCACCTGACAAGTTGCAACACAATGACACAACCACAGCGCGCCCACCACAGCGCCGCCTTGCCGCCCGCCAGCCGCGTGCAGTGGATGCGCGACTGCTGGCCCGCACCGATGCCTACCACCTGACAAGTTGCAACACAATGACACAACCACAGCGCGCCCACCACAGCGCCGCCTTGCCGCCCGCCAGCCGCGTGCAGTGGATGCGCGACTGCTGGCCCGCACCGATGCCTACCACCTGACAAGTTGCAACACAATGACACAACCACAGCGCGCCCACCACAGCGCCGCCTTGCCGCCCGCCAGCCGCGTGCAGTGGATGCGCGACTGCTGGCCCGCACCGATGCCTACCACCTGACAAGTTGCAACACAATGACACAACCACAGCGCGCCCACCACAGCGCCGCCTTGCCGCCCGCCAGCCGCGTGCAGTGGATGCGCGACTGCTGGCCCGCACCGATGCCTACCACCTGACAAGTTGCAACACAATGACACAACCACAGCGCGCCCACCACAGCGCCGCCTTGCCGCCCGCCAGCCGCGTGCAGTGGATGCGCGACTGCTGGCCCGCACCGATGCCTACCACCTGACAAGTTGCAACACAATGACACAACCACAGCGCGCCCACCACAGCGCCGCCTTGCCGCCCGCCAGCCGCGTGCAGTGGATGCGCGACTGCTGGCCCGCACCGATGCCTACCACCTGACAAGTTGCAACACAATGACACAACCACAGCGCGCCCACCACAGCGCCGCCTTGCCGCCCGCCAGCCGCGTGCAGTGGATGCGCGACTGCTGGCCCGCACCGATGCCTACCACCTGACAAGTTGCAACACAATGACACAACCACAGCGCGCCCACCACAGCGCCGCCTTGCCGCCCGCCAGCCGCGTGCAGTGGATGCGCGACTGCTGGCCCGCACCGATGCCTACCACCTGACAAGTTGCAACACAATGACACAACCACAGCGCGCCCACCACAGCGCCGCCTTGCCGCCCGCCAGCCGCGTGCAGTGGATGCGCGACTGCTGGCCCGCACCGATGCCTACCACCTGACAAGTTGCAACACAATGACACAACCACAGCGCGCCCACCACAGCGCCGCCTTGCCGCCCGCCAGCCGCGTGCAGTGGATGCGCGACTGCTGGCCCGCACCGATGCCTACCACCTGACAAGTTGCAACACAATGACACAACCACAGCGCGCCCACCACAGCGCCGCCTTGCCGCCCGCCAGCCGCGTGCAGTGGATGCGCGACTGCTGGCCCGCACCGATGCCTACCACCTGACAAGTTGCAACACAATGACACAACCACAGCGCGCCCACCACAGCGCCGCCTTGCCGCCCGCCAGCCGCGTGCAGTGGATGCGCGACTGCTGGCCCGCACCGATGCCTACCACCTGACAAGTTGCAACACAATGACACAACCACAGCGCGCCCACCACAGCGCCGCCTTGCCGCCCGCCAGCCGCGTGCAGTGGATGCGCGACTGCTGGCCCGCACCGATGCCTACCACCTGACAAGTTGCAACACAATGACACAACCACAGCGCGCCCACCACAGCGCCGCCTTGCCGCCCGCCAGCCGCGTGCAGTGGATGCGCGACTGCTGGCCCGCACCGATGCCTACCACCTGACAAGTTGCAACACAATGACACAACCACAGCGCGCCCACCACAGCGCCGCCTTGCCGCCCGCCAGCCGCGTGCAGTGGATGCGCGACTGCTGGCCCGCACCGATGCCTACCACCTGACAAGTTGCAACACAATGACACAACCACAGCGCGCCCACCACAGCGCCGCCTTGCCGCCCGCCAGCCGCGTGCAGTGGATGCGCGACTGCTGGCCCGCACCGATGCCTACCACCTGACAAGTTGCAACACAATGACACAACCACAGCGCGCCCACCACAGCGCCGCCTTGCCGCCCGCCAGCCGCGTGCAGTGGATGCGCGACTGCTGGCCCGCACCGATGCCTACCACCTGACAAGTTGCAACACAATGACACAACCACAGCGCGCCCACCACAGCGCCGCCTTGCCGCCCGCCAGCCGCGTGCAGTGGATGCGCGACTGCTGGCCCGCACCGATGCCTACCACCTGACAAGTTGCAACACAATGACACAACCACAGCGCGCCCACCACAGCGCCGCCTTGCCGCCCGCCAGCCGCGTGCAGTGGATGCGCGACTGCTGGCCCGCACCGATGCCTACCACCTGACAAGTTGCAACACAATGACACAACCACAGCGCGCCCACCACAGCGCCGCCTTGCCGCCCGCCAGCCGCGTGCAGTGGATGCGCGACTGCTGGCCCGCACCGATGCCTACCACCTGACAAGTTGCAACACAATGACACAACCACAGCGCGCCCACCACAGCGCCGCCTTGCCGCCCGCCAGCCGCGTGCAGTGGATGCGCGACTGCTGGCCCGCACCGATGCCTACCACCTGACAAGTTGCAACACAATGACACAACCACAGCGCGCCCACCACAGCGCCGCCTTGCCGCCCGCCAGCCGCGTGCAGTGGATGCGCGACTGCTGGCCCGCACCGATGCCTACCACCTGACAAGTTGCAACACAATGACACAACCACAGCGCGCCCACCACAGCGCCGCCTTGCCGCCCGCCAGCCGCGTGCAGTGGATGCGCGACTGCTGGCCCGCACCGATGCCTACCACCTGACAAGTTGCAACACAATGACACAACCACAGCGCGCCCACCACAGCGCCGCCTTGCCGCCCGCCAGCCGCGTGCAGTGGATGCGCGACTGCTGGCCCGCACCGATGCCTACCACCTGACAAGTTGCAACACAATGACACAACCACAGCGCGCCCACCACAGCGCCGCCTTGCCGCCCGCCAGCCGCGTGCAGTGGATGCGCGACTGCTGGCCCGCACCGATGCCTACCACCTGACAAGTTGCAACACAATGACACAACCACAGCGCGCCCACCACAGCGCCGCCTTGCCGCCCGCCAGCCGCGTGCAGTGGATGCGCGACTGCTGGCCCGCACCGATGCCTACCACCTGACAAGTTGCAACACAATGACACAACCACAGCGCGCCCACCACAGCGCCGCCTTGCCGCCCGCCAGCCGCGTGCAGTGGATGCGCGACTGCTGGCCCGCACCGATGCCTACCACCTGACAAGTTGCAACACAATGACACAACCACAGCGCGCCCACCACAGCGCCGCCTTGCCGCCCGCCAGCCGCGTGCAGTGGATGCGCGACTGCTGGCCCGCACCGATGCCTACCACCTGACAAGTTGCAACACAATGACACAACCACAGCGCGCCCACCACAGCGCCGCCTTGCCGCCCGCCAGCCGCGTGCAGTGGATGCGCGACTGCTGGCCCGCACCGATGCCTACCACCTGACAAGTTGC